GATTTGTATTTCTGGACATTGGTCTTGCTGGTTGCCTTGTATTAAACACCTCCACCATTTGTTGCAAATATTTTAGTTATTTTTGTCTGTTTTAAAAAGCCTTCATTTGTGATTGCTATTCCGTTCATTCCGTTAGAGTGTTGGCTTGGCATGTCGTGATGCTACATTGTGTATTCTTCTTGCTACAAATAGTTTAATTGTTAGGACAAAATAAAGGACTGTGGATGCTGAAGATCTGAAACAAGAACAGAAATTGTTGAAGAAACTCAGCAGGTCTAGCAGCATCTGTGGAGAGAGAAAAGGACTTAACATTTTGTGTCGAGTGGCCCTTCTTCAGTCTAATTGTTAATCCTTCCTGAAGGAAGTTTACTGAATCAACAACTGCTTCTATATTATATGATCCGAGGCTACTTGTAGATTTGTAATTGACTCTGTTTTGATGATGTGGAGGTGCTGATGTTGGACTGGGATGGACAAGGTCAAAAATCACAACAGCAGGCTATAGTCCAACAGGTTTATTTGAAGACACAAGCTTTCAGAGTCCTTCTTCAGGTGTTAGTGAGAGAGGTGGCATCAGACACAGAATTTTTAAGCAAAAGATCAATGGGTCATAGGACTGCTGCAAATGTGTTAAACAGATCTAAGATGGCTGTTAAATCTTTAATCAGTTAGAAAGGATTAATATGCAAATTCCAGAATTTTTTTCAAGTCACTGCCCTGAGATAACTGAAGGTTTTAATCGTTCCCTCAGTATACCAGAGGTGACATTCCATGTCAGACAATGCATATTAAGTGTGAGGTCTTGTTTAGAATCTGGCTGTGTATTAACTTGGAATCAGACCGGTTTTATTTCCAAAATAAGAATTTCTAAAATGCCGCATTGTCTCCGAATTGTGTGGTTTTTGAACAAAATGGAATGTATCTGCAAATGAAAATTCACCCCATAGATTTATATATGTGGGTGGGTGTGTGGGAGAGAAGGAGGGAGTGTGTGTGTGTGTGTACAGTGCGGTGGGGTCACCTGTAGTGTGACATGAACCCAAGATCCTGGTTGAGGCCGTCCTCATGGGGACCGAACTTCGCTATCAGCCTCTGCTCGGCGACTGTGTTTTTGTGTATCCCAAAGTCTGCCTTGGAGGGCGTTTACCTGAAGATCCGAGGCCAAATGTCCTTGACTGCTGAATTGTTCCCCCACTGGAAGGGATCATCCCTGTCTGAAGATTGTTGCACAGTGTCCATTCATCTGTTGTTGTATCTACATATTTTCGCCAATATACTACGCCTTGGAGCATCCTTGCCTGCAGCAAATGAAATAAACAACTTTGGCCGGGTCACATGAGTATCTGCCTGGCACATGGTGGGTGATGTTCCCACGTGTGATGGTAGTGTCCATGTCGAAGATCTGACATGTCTTGCAGAGGTTGCCATGGTAGGGTTGTAATCGTGTTGTGGTCGATGTTGTCCTGAAGGATGGGTAGTTTGCTGCGAACAATGATCTGTTTAAGGTTTGGCGGTTGCTTGAAGGCGAGAAGTGGAGGTGTGGGGAAGAGTCTGGTGAGGTACTCAATGTCATCAATAATGTGTTGAGGCTCCGAAGAACATGGCGTAGTTTCTCCGCTCCCGGAAAGTACTGGATGACCAAAGGTAACTTCTCGGTCATATCTTGTCTGTTTTCTGAGAATGACTTCTGTTTCAAACACACAGACTCTGACACGCACGCTTCCTCACATGCGCTCACACACGCACACTGTCTGTGTCTCACACACACGCTCTTTCTCTTGCGCACGCTCTCACACACGTACACGCACTCTGTATCTCACACGCAGTCACACACGCACTCTATCTCGTGTGCACTCTCTCTCTTGCACACTCTCTCTCTCTTACGCGTGCGCTCGCTCCCCCTCTCTTGCGCATGCTCACTCTCGCACACACACACTCGCTCTCTCTCATTAAATCTATGGGGTGACTTTTCATTTGCAGATTTGTAATTGCAGATACATTCTGTTTCGTTCAAAAACCACACAATTTGTAGACAGTGAATGTGGCATTTTATATTTCCTAATTTGAAAATAAAACCAGTCTGTCTCCAAGGTGATACACAGCCAGATCTTAAACAAGGCCTCACATCTAAAATGCATTTTCTAACTTGGGATGTCACCTCTGGTATACCAGAGGGAACTGATAAAACCTTCAGTTATCTCGGGGCAGTAACTTGAAAGAAATTCTGGAATTTGCATGTTAATCCTTTGTAACTGATTAAAGATTTATTGGCAATCTTAGGTTTGTTCAACACATTCGCGTCAGTCTATGACCCTTTGATCTTTTGCTTATAAATTCTGTGTCTGATGCCTCCTCTGTCACTAACAGCTGAAGAAGGAGCGAGACCCCGAAAGCTTGTGTCTTCAAATAAGCCTGTTGGACTATAACCTGATGTTGTGTGAGTTTTGACTCTGTTTTGATGAGTTGACTAAAATCCCAGCTAATATTTGTATACATTGCATTCCGCGACTATCCTGGAATAATGTTGAACTGTGTATCATCCATACTTTTGTGTGAAATATTGTTTAAACTAAAGATAACAGAATAACCCCAAAGTCTAGCCATCAGCCATTTTTCTTGACCTTTACTTCTCTGTAATATTCCTGAGTTAATTTTCTTGTGTAAATACCTTAATGAGAAACATTTTCCTGGCAAAAGGGTGGCCAAATCAAAGCCAAGGTTGTTAGTCATAGTTAACTGGGAGGGAATGCAGCCAGTCTTCCTGATGGGAGGGGCCTGGTTGTAAAGGTTTGTTACATGCTGCAGAGTTTTGCATAGGTGGGTTTTAATGTGGTGGGATAATCTACTCTATTCAAGTGTTTGACATGGAGGGAAAGATGCATGAAAACCTGTAACCTTAGCAAGGGGTTTAAATTATTTCATTCACCATAAAATAAAGCCCAAATGGTATTAGAAAGTCTGGCTGGGATATTGGGGAATGTTTGAAAAGCTGGCCCATTTGTTCTCCAGAGATAGTAGGAACTGCAGATGCTGGAGAATTCGAGACAACAAGGTGCAGGGCTGGATGAACACAGCAGGCCAAGCAGCATCATAGGAGCAGAGAGGCTGATGTTTCGGGCCTAGGCCCGAAATGTCAGCCTCTCTACCCATTTGTTCTCCAGATGTTTTGTACACACAGTGCCTTGATATCTGACATTGTTCAGATACATTGCTGTAGTTTCTGAAATTGTGTTACATGTGATCACTCCAGGTGAAGACTGGACACAGGCATGCTGAATGGCTGCTTTCTATGGAATAGTTTCAACTATTCACAGCCTAGAGAGTGGGGTGCAGCAATGTGCTGGTTGCTAATGACAATCTGAGATTGGGCTGATGTTCCCTGTCTTGAATAGTGGGGGGGGATATCCATCTCTAATCAAGATGCTACATATCTCTGTCTTAAATACACACAACGATCTGCCCTCCACAGCCTCCTGTTACAATAGGTTCCACAGATTCACCATCCATGGGCTGAAGCAATTCATCATTATCTCCGTTCGAAAGGGTTGTCCCTTCACTGAGGTTGTGCCCTCAACTCTCTCCTTCCAAGTGGAAACATCTTTCCCACCTCCATAAAATCGGGACATGTCCTTGAAGATCACAACAATTACCAAACATGTTTGAAATCGTTCCCTTATTCCTACGTGTAGTCTGATGTCTGCATTTTCAAACTTTTTTTTATACCTAGCAATGTCGAACTGGATTTAATCCCTCAAACACCTTTTACCTTGTTCACAGATTGAGACACATTGCTTCAAATTGATAGCTGTTTCTTTTCTCTCCATTCAAGGGATGTGGCTGTTGCTGGCTAGGCCAACATCGATCGCCCATCCTGAATTTTCTTTGTGAAAAGCGGTGATGAGCCATCTTTGTGAACCACCACAATCCCAGGGTGGGGTTGCGGGGGGTGGGACAGCCACAGTGCTGGCAGGCAGAAAGTTCCAAGATTTTGACCTAGTGACAGTGATCTAGTTCTGCTTCGGAATGGTGTGTGACTTGACAGGAGCACCACCTCCACCTGAAAGCTCCCCATGCATCAGCTGCCCTGTCTTTTAAGAGTGCAAACTCTTCATAAGGAGCCCGACAGAAACATTGGAGCACAGAGTGTGAGACATAAGAGCAAATTTGTTCAAAAGGACTCAGAATCTTGCAGCACAGGAAGACCTCATCATGGCTTTACCGAGATTGTTGTCTAATTAGTTACCTCATGCTGGCTTTACCGAGATTGTTATCTAATTGGTGCCGCCCCAGTGCTGATTTGCAGCTTGTCTTTCTGTTCAAGCAGATGTCTAATTCTTTTTTGAAAGTAAGCTGAATCTGTTTGACTCACTCACTCCGTGTATTCCAGATCAAAAATACTTGATGAATTAAGTTAAAAATCCCTCAATGTTGTACACCTGGCATTTTGTTATTAATCTTGAATCACCCTGTGGACAAGATTTTGTTTGCTTGCATCTTTTCACAATAAACACCCAGGTTTATTTTCTTGGAAGGAAAGCACAGGGGAAATTAAAATTGTTGAAATCTTGAAATATTGAGTAAGTTTTTTTTCATTTTAATAATGATTATGTTCAAACTATTTGCTGTATTTGGTTTGTAAGCTTTCCTTCTTTTGATGTTGTGTCTTTTAAATGTTGGTATTTTATATTTTGTTTCCTGGGAAATAATGAATGAATGAATGCAGACTATTGAATAGGAAGTACCTCTCCAACTTCAGATTTTCAAAGAATTGTTATAGTTTGAAGCTTAGAATTGATTTATCATCTTTGAACCAAGTCTAAACCTGATGGATATCGAATTTCCTGATGCAGCTTTCTTTTACATCATCTACCAGTGGTTGTTTTGAGTTGGAAAGTACTTCTGTTTTTCTGTGAAGCTTGCAACTAAACAATTATCACGTGTGCTGTATTCAATAACATTAGTATGTCGAATAAAGGACATTCCTTAAAGGCTATTAAAAATATTTTGCTGGCAAGTATCAAAAATTAAGATCTGTCATTAAGAATAACCACAATTATTCGTAATAGTCATCATTAGCTCACAGTCCAAAAAAGTGAGACTTTTTCTTTAGCGAAGAAATACAACAGTTAAGATCCATTGAATCTGAAGCATTCAACATACTGAGTTACTTAATTTCGTATAGGAAGATAAGAAATCCATTTTATAAAGTACTCTCTGTAACTTGATTGTCATTTGTCATTCTATAAAAACTACTCTCTGGAACTTCATTGTCATTTGTCACACTGTATGATGTGTCTCGGGTAGGCTTGCCTAACCTCCGCCTGAATGCCTTGCACAAAAAGATGTAAATAAGTGGATCCAGACAGGTGTTTGAAGCACACAGCCAAAGTGCTGTCTCCTTTATATAATACAGCATGTTCTGCTTCCAGCATTCTCTCACTTTGCCAACTTGGCTGAGTGTGTAGGGCACCCTCGTGGAATGAAATGGCACAAAGCAGATGAAGAAGACTGACACAATGACAAATACTTTGACCTTGGTCTGTCTCTGAGCTTGACTGCCTTTGCTTTTGGACTTCTTATAAGACTCGTAGACCTTCTTAGATATTACAGCGTAAAGCACAACCATCAGTATGCACACTGCCCAGAAGATGAACTGACAGATATAATTCAATATGGTATGCCACATCAACCCAGCTGGTCCCTTCAGTTTCATGCATTTTGTCACCGATTCTGGTGTGGCTCGTTTGTTTGTCAGAATGATGTTGGGAAGAGACAGAAGAAACATGATGACCCAAACTGCCACAGACAGAAATTTGCTGAATCTAGGCTCTCGTATGCATGACTTGCCGTAGGGTCTGGTGATTTTGAGGAAACGATCGAAGCTGATCAGCCCCAGAAGTATAATGCTGATGTACATGGTGAAGTAGAAAACCACTGCTGAGTAGCGGCACACAAACCACCTCACCTGCCAGGGTGCCAGTTGGGTGTCACGGAGTATTTTAAAAGGGAATGTCAAGGTCATAAACAAATCAGCAGCGACGATATTTTTCAGGAGCACCGTGAAAGTCGAGTTGCTGGGGATTTTTGAAAATATTTTGATTGACAGGATATTGAGAATGATGCCGAAGACGAAGAGGATACTGTAAAGGGTAGGAAACACCACCCTGGTGACATGGTAATCCCGTGGACACTTGTCTTGTGGTGATGTGTTGGAGAGGGTGATGTTCACATTGGAGGAATTGCAAAGGCTGCTGTTCATTCTTGTTTCCTGGAGAACAAATGATAATTACTTGCCAAATTAGCATTTTCAAGAGAAATTTAATTTTTCTTTTGCAACAAAATCAGTACTACTTTTCCAGGTCGGTTTTGAACGTTTCAGCACTGGGACTCCCTGCAAAGTCCTTACTAATACCCTACTTGTCCTGACTTACAAAATGCATTGCTGACAATGCCAAGAAGGACAGTGCCATTATCGCAGAAATTACTTTGCATAGAATCATACAGTATACCAAAAGATACTTCTAACCACCACTGCTTGACATTCCATGGTGTTACTATTACCAAATCTTCCACTATCAACATTCTGGGGGGTTGTCATTGACCAGAAACTCAACTGCACTCTCCACGTAAACATAGTGGCTACAAGAGCAGGTCGGAGGCTAGGAATACTGTGGCAAGTAACTCCCCTCCTGACTCACCAAAGCCTATCTATCATTTACAAGGCACAAGTCAGGAGTGTGATGGAATACTCCCCACTTGTCTGGAAGTCTGGATGAGTGCAGCCCCAACAACACTCAAGAAGCTCGACACCATCCACGACAAAGCAGCCTGCTTGATTGGCCACACATCCCCAAACATCCATTCCCCCCACCACCGACGCTCAGTAGCAGCAGTGTGTACCATCCACAAGATGCACTGCAGAAATTCACCAAAGATCCTCAGACAGCACCTTTCAAACCCACGACCACTTCCATCTGGAAGGAGAAGGGAAGAACGTACATGGGAACACCACCAACTTCAAGTTCCCTTCCAAGCCACTCACCATCCTGACTTGGAAATATCCCACTGTTATTGGGTCAAAATCCTGGAATTCCCTTCCTGTGGGCATTGTGGGTCAACTCACAGCAGGTGGACTGCAGCAGTTCAAGAAGGCAGCTCACCAGCACCTCAAGAGCAATTAGGGATGGGCAAGAAATGCTGGCCAACCAGTGACGCCCCCATCCCACAAATGAGTAAAATAAAAACTTCAGCTAATCAAACCTGCACTGACAAAACTACTCTAAATCTTTACTCGTCTCACTTCCCTGCAGTTGGCCCAAAGCCTCGAATATTATGACATTTCAACTGCTCATCCAAATACTTTTTAAAGGTTGTGAGGCTTCCTGTCCTCGACTACCTTCCCAGGCAGAGTATTCCAGGCACTGCAAGGGGATTTGCAAGAGTTTGAACAACATGGTAAATTTATGAAGCAACCTTGCTGTTAAATGTGCCCTTCATGACTTCAGGGATTCCAGAGTACATTTGAAGTGACATCATGACTGTTAACTATGAAATGTGACAATCAGTTTGCCCACAGCAAGATACCAAAAGCATCAATATGACAAATGATCAGGTAATATTTTTGGTGGAGGGATAGGTTTTGGACAGGAATCCAGATGACCATCCCTACTTTGGTTGTGGAAGCTTAAGATCTGTAAAGGACCCCAGTTTAATTTCTAACCTGTGTTGGAGGATGCAGGAGTCTCTAGGATTGCCCTGGAATGCCAGACTAGGTTTTTCTGATCAAATTTCGAGCGAAACTTGAACTCAAGGTCATTTGATCCAGAGGAGTGCTGCTACTGAGCCAAGACTCATACCTGCATTTCAAGAGAGAAGGAGAATTAGAGAACTTGTGGACACTAAGGCTTCCAACAATGCAGGGATTACACTTTAAAACCTCCAAACCCTTTTGGTAAGACCTAGAATGACTTGAGTCCCACAATGAAGGAGCCACAATTTGGCCCTAATTTTCTCTCAAAAGATGAGGCAAATGAGTTAGTCATACACAAATGGGAAGGATGTTTGAGGAGCAGATGCTGGTTGACTCTGTGAATACAGAAGCCTTGTTGCACTGTATCACAATTTGCTTTGCAGATGAAAAATTAACGTCAGCTGTACAAATTCTCACACTTCAGCTTTTAATCGTTGGTGATCTTTTAGATTAGAATTAAAACTTCTTCAATTTCTATCTTTCAAATCCAGCCTAATCCTTCTTTTTCTTCTCTTTATTTATTTATCTTTTTCTAACTAACTTCACATCAAATTCAGTCCCTCCTCAGCCCTGCCACTGTTTATTTCACAATCCTTTAACCTCCTCGATTAAGAAAATAGATTCCTTATTGCTTGCACTTTTCATTCGGATAGCACTGTCCTCTTTTCCCTTGCTATGCCATCAAAAACTCACATTTTGACAAATATCCTGTCTGACACCATGATTAAAGGGGCAAGGATCAGTTTAATTAACTGCAGACACATTGCAATAACCAATTATGGTGTGATACCTTTGCCAGGTGTAACCATTGAAAAGTAAATTTGAAGGACTTATAAACTTGTGTCTATTTTAATTCTGTATTGACAGCCGCCCTCTGACCGAATGGCTCTGTATCACACACAACATTTAACCAGATTTGTCCACAACGTTTTGGGTACGATCACTTGCCTATTCCAATGGTCTTGCTCTGTAACCTCCTCTAGACCAGCAAATTCAACCCTCTTGCCCAGTCCAAGTTTGTCACTGCATAGTTGGCTGTCCCTTTCAAAGGCCTGATCACTAGTCTCCTGAATCCCTTCTAAAGCTTCTCTGCCTCTTCATCCTCTCTGCACCGTTAAGACACGTGTTAAAACCTAACTCTTTGGTTTAACCTTTGGCCACATGTCCCAATGTTGCTTTGCATGTCTCAGAGTTATACTTAATCCTTCTGTGAAACACCTTGGGATATTTAAGGACTTTAAAAGGTGCTTTGTGAATGCAAATGAATGTTGTTATCTAAAAACCAGAAGAACTGCGGATGCTGTAAATCAGGACAAACAAAGTTGCTGGAAAAGCTCAGGTCTGGCAGCATCTGTATTGTTATCTATGCTGGATTAGTGGACCTCCTCCAGGGATGGCAGCGGGGCTGCTGCAGTTAGCGATTTTGATCTTTAGTTTCAGAGGCAAAATCTGCACTGGAGAGTTTTGAAAGTTACCAGGTCATCATTTATTGAATGGTCCACCTGAGGATAGAATTTAATTCAACCATGATGTTCACTGCATTCGTTTGATCGCCAAGATTCACTGCACAGAGTGAGATTTAATAATAAGAAGAAACCAGGTGATGGTGTCACGGTAATGTTGCTGGACTGAAGAGCCGGCGTTCCTAGGGAACATGGGTTCGAGCCCCAAGGCAGCTGGAAATGGGATTAACAACCAGTCACAATAATGGTGACCATGGGCGGAATTTGAGAAGGGTCTGAGCTTCATGGATGACGACAAGATGTGTGGCAAAAACAGTGGCAGGACAGGTGCAGTGAGGCCCATCTCAACATGTGATCATCTCGTTCCTTTTTTTTAGGTGTTTTTAATTAACCTGTTCAGGCACGTAATGACACATCTCTGGAGCAGGTGGGACTTGAACCTGGGCAACAGCAACAGAAATCGCTGGAGAAACTCAGCAGGCCTGGAAGCATCTGTGGAGAGAAAGCAGAGTTAAGGTTTTGAGGCCGGTGACCCTTCTTCAGAAGCACTTCTGAAGGCTCCTAGTCTTGCTGTGCCATTTAGTGCAGACTCTAAGCCAAGAAGCTTGTTACAGTTGTCAGCAAATCTTGCTCAGGTTACCCCAAGCGCAGGAAGTCAAGGCTGGCCCCCAGTATTAGTTCAGGCCCTGCTCAGAGCAGTCAGAGTAAGGATTTTCTCCTTGTAAGAGGTAAGGAGCTGAACAATGGGCCGTACCTCACCTGTCTTGTCTCTTTCTGCCCTGTCGGAATGAGAGACAAGCAGGTATTATGGGACGCGAATGTGTGTGTCATAGTTACTACTGATTCTCGAGTGAGTGAGTAGGCAGCACTGAGGGCATATGTAGGGTGGGTGGTATCAGGGATTGGGATGGGTGAGGGCGAGTGAAGATGTTGCTGCAGACAGTAGTGAGAGTGGTAGAGCGTGAGCCTTGTTGGGAGGTGAGTGTGGTAGCAGAGATGGAGTGAGTGTGAGGTGTTGGAGAGGAGATGGTGAAATGTTGCTGGTGGAGTGGAGGAGGACATTGACCTTCCTGCAGTGCTTGGCAAACCTCCAGATGGCTGAGACTGCTTCAGCGATGGCCTCGTGGTATTATCGCTGGACTGTTAGTCCAGACACCCAGATAAAGTTCTGGGCACCCAGGTTCAAATCCTCCCATGGCAGATGGTGGAATTTGAATTTAAAAAAAAAAATCTGAATTAAGAGTTTAATGATGACCGTAAATCTGTTGCCAATTGTCAGAAAAACCCATCTGGTTCACTAATGTCCTTTTAGGGAAGGAAACTGCCATCCTTACCTGGTCTGGCCTACATGTGACTCCAGACCCACAGCAATGTGGTTGACTCTTAACTGAGCACCAAAAATGCCTGAACATAGCACTCAGTTCAAGGGCAGTTAGGGTTGGGCACCATCATCATTTACAACACCCACATCCCATGAAGAAATAAATTAAACAAAAGAGGAACTACAAATGCTGATGAGTGTTAACTTGCTATGAAAATAAAAATAAGGAGAAAGGGATTGAAATGTAATGCTTTCTGAAGAACAGATATTACTGATGTATGGTTCGTTTGATGCTATGTAAATTTCCATTTGGCGCTATTGCTTGCTTACTGCAGCAGATGTTCCAATATGGTATGAGCTTTGTGTCAATGCAAGTATTGCCTTTGAGATCTTCAAATTGACTTTTTAACAGGGCCTAGAATTACATAACCACCACACATTCAAGAATCATTTGTTCATACCTAATTCATGAGAGAGCTCTGTGTCTAGAGGTAGCAGAAATAAATATCCGTGTGTTCTGCTTCTCAAAACTAGCTTTTGTATTCGGGTCTGAGTAAATTGAAACGGGATGTTGAGGCAGTAAGTTCTTGCTTGGTCAAAGCATTTTGCAAGCATGTTTTCAAGTCTGGTTCACAAAACATTTGTTGTTCGGAGGATCAGTTATCTCAGTTGGCTGGATGGCCGGGTTTGATGATAACAGCACGGGTTCAGCTGAGAGGGACTACCATAAAGATTCCACCTTTTCAACCCTTTCCCTTGCCTGAGGCATGCTGACCCTCAGGTTAAACTCACCACCAGTCGTTTCTCTCTGAGGAGAGAGCATCCCTATGGGACTGTGGTGACTTTTGTTTTTATTCCGCGCTGAGCCCTTTTGTGGGACCGTCTTTCTCTGGCCTTGTCTCTCGACAGCGGATGTTAGGAATTGTGAAATCCCAACCCTGAACCTTTCCCAATGTGACAGTTGAGTGAGCGCTGTAGGATATGCATTTGACATACATATCATGCATTCTGAACTCTTACCAGCTGAATACCATGGCTGACGTTCACATCTTCTTACTAAGAGCCTCACTACTGTATAGTTCTGCGTGATATTTGATCACCTGTGTCTATGGTTAGTTTCTGCAAACTTTGCAGTTCCTTTCATGGCCAGGTCAGGCTTTGCTTCTGTACAAAGGACTTGCTGTTCTTTTATTTCCCGTACTAAAGAAATTCCCTGTAAACACTCCCTGATCTATGTTATTTAATACTTTAAGCAGAATTTGATCTTGTTCAGTAAAAGAAATGATGTATTTACCTAGTGTCTAGCGTCATACTGTAATGCTCCAAAACTGTTGAAGTGTGAGAGAATGCTAATGCTGTTATTACTTGCCGAAGAATCACCCTGATTCTGCTGTTTTACTTCTACTTCCACTGTTTTAGCAGCTATAAAGTTTCCCTGCTAAGCGGTTGCAACAGAGCAATGGGCCAGCCATGCTGAGCTATTCTCCCATGTATGTCAATTAAGTCCCATTGCCTTTTCAGAAAGGACAAATGAGCACTTTAAAAGGGGGGGAGAAAAGTGTCTCTTGATTAAGGTTCTTCGCTCGGCAGAAAACAAATCATCTAGTTCTCCCCCCAGCACCTCAGCCGGTGGTGTGCTGGGCATTAGAGGTGAAGGAAGATGAGTTTGTGGTGATGGTTATCCACAGACAGGTACTGACAGCCCTCAAAAAAAAATATAGTTGATCCACGGATTATGATCCTGCACTAATGAAGACTGCGGACTTCCACAAGGACGTAATACATCCTGAAAATATGAAAAATGTGATCCTTTTCATTCTTGTGAACCTGTAACCACAAGATCAGCAATCTCCCAGCTGGTTAATTTATTGATCGTAAACTGAGAAGGCTCCCCTGTATTTTAAATATCAAACAATTTTAAACATAGAACAAACGTTATCAGTTAATTCTATCCATGGAATTTTGCCTCACCAGCTATAGATAACATTGCTGTTTATTCATATACGCCGTGAAGAATATTACAGACTTGATTGTTTAATGTCGCATCTCTGTAGGTAACACAGATTCATAGAATTTTACCATTCAGAAGATGGCCATTTGACCCATCATGTCTGTACAAGCTCCTGAAAGAGCTACTCAGCTAGTCCCATGCTCTAGCCCTATTCCTGTAGCCCTCTAATTTCTTCATTTTCAAATATATTCCAGTTCTCTTTTGAAACCTCATATGGAATCTGCCTCTGCCAGTCTCCCATTCAATACATTCCAAATCATCATAACTCTCTGAGTAAAGAAGTTTCTCCTCATGTCAGTCCTAGTTCTCTC